CTTCCTACATCTTAGCTCCCCAAAACATACCATACGTGCAGCTTCATGCATGGGAAACGACAGTGAGAACTGAGATAAGCATGTTTTTCGGTTTTTGGGCCTAACAAGATTCCCCCCTAAAAAGCATTTTGAGAGCCTTATGGCCCCCAATCCTCAGCCTTCACCGGCTGGTATTGGGCCATCATTTGTTGGTGTATGGTTTGATTAGCCATTCGTCGGACTAATGCAACTACACAGGGAGCAAAGCAAGCTAGGGTTAATAAGGTTGTAATAAAGAGTACAAAGAGAAGAAGACCTTCTCGGAGCCATCCTAGTTGCGGTAACCAGGATGTGAACCAGTCCATATTCCACCCACCCCATGTTTGGACCGGGACATGGGCTAACTTCCTCATTTCTTTCGTTAGCTGTTTTACCGCCTTTCCATTATCATCTATTTGTAAACAGCAATTAGATTCGTTTAATTTTGCACAGATTCCTCCTTCTTCTGCCAGCAAATAATCAAGAACTAGATGGTGCTGGTAGAGCGCATTTCTCATCTGAGTGGACTGATCGGCCAAAAGATCTAGAGCTGCAGCCGTCTGATTAGTTATTATTTCTAAAATGGCTTGCAGCCTAATTATCCGATTCAAGTTGTAAATGGGCTCCCTTGCCCCTGAGATCCACTCATTAGGATTCCATGTAGCTGGACCATAATGTTTTATAATTTTCTCAGGGGGCCACTCTCGAGCTCCCCATGTTTGGGAGCTTCCAGCGGTCAATGCGGAATCAACAGACCGCCTCTCCCTAATCAAGTCGTCATATACCTTAATTCCTAATTTATTTCCCTGAATTTGGGGTAATAGAAAGAACAAGGGCCTAATGTACCCAACATAACATATTCCTGACCAATTTGGGGGCAATCTTCGATAAGCGTATTGCCCGCATATCCAGTAATGGCCTTTTAGGGCCCATTGTCCGTTCGCAAAGGGGCCATCCCAGGTCTCGGGGTAATCCTCGGGGCCCGGTTCTTCATAATACAAAGGGTTACCCATTTCCAAGGGCCCCCCTAGTACAATAGATGTACTGTCAGGATTGCAGTATTCACATTTCCATGCCCCAGCCCCTTCCTTCCAAACACAATTACAACCAAATTTAGGGCTATTGGTAGTAGACCAAAAATGATTAAAATGGGTTACCCGAGTTCCATTAGAATGTTGCCATGCCCACTGATACCAGCGTACCACGTGGTCCTTACTGGCGGTATTATCTCGCTGGCAACTTAGAAAGAGGGCATCAAAGTACCCATCTTGTCCAACTGCTTTACAGCCTTCGCCGATATGATGTTGGAAGGAACATCTTACCCAGCTATGATTAGTGAGTTTCACGTGGGTATGGTTCCATCGTCCTTGATATTTAGAACAGTCATACGTATGGCAACTAGGGTGATCATAGCAGTCAAATCCTAGAGATAGAGTCCAGTCACATTGGCTTTTGCCCACATACACCCCTTCTTGTTTTGTTTGGTTGAGGCAAAAGATCCCTATTCCAGAGGAATAGAGTCGCCAAGGGCTACTATCCTCAGTCCAAACTTCTGTTCCTTTGTGGACTATACTTAAATTACTGATCCACCATTTAGCTTGCACTGGCTGGGCTACCCAAGGCCACTCATTCCAATCCCCTGGACCTCCACAAACCCAACAGCTACTAATATTGAAGGAACCCGCTATTGTTTCTCCTAGTTGTACAAACCTATTTTCCCAACCATAGCCATGATAGACACATATGAACAGAAATGTTAATAATGAGTTCATGATTGCTTTTTTCTAAACAGTCCTTTTAGTCCATCGAGTCCTTGATACTCCCAGACGGTGTCTGCGCCCGTGCCACCCCGGGCTTCCGGTGCCGGGGCGGGCAGAGGGCTGGGGTCCTCTTCCGTGGAATTGGTTCCCTAGACCGAATTCAGAAACCGCTTTACCCGGGTGAGATGTCTCCATTTGTCGCTCCCGAGTATTTTAACTGCGGCCTGGCTGATGAGCGAAACGGTGTATGGACCGTCCCACCTTGGCGTCAGGGGGTCGTGTTTCCACTTCTTGACAAGGACCTGGTCACCGATCCGGAACGGATGCACGGTCTGGTCCAAGGGGAGGGCCTGGAATGGCGCCGCGTATCGATGAAGCTGCAACAAGACAGATTGCAACCCGGAAACCTGTTTCCATAGTAAGTCATTTCCCACTTCCCAGTTTACATCCTCCCGGAATCCTGGGATAAGTATTCGGGGTGGAAATCCAAAGACTAGTTCAAAGGGTGAGAGTTTAAGACCCTTACGTGGGGCCCTTCGAATACGGGTGAGGGCGAGTGGCAAGGCATCAAGCCACTTCAAGCTAGATTCTGTGCATATTTTAGTTAGAGTGTCTTTGAGAGTTCTATTCATCCTTTCTATTTGACCCGAGCTTTGCGGCCTCCAGGGTGTATGTAATTTCCATTGTATACCGAGTGCCTGGGATACCTGCTGGACCACTTGTGAGACAAAGTGGCTTCCCCTATCAGACTCAATTACCTCCGGGAGATGGTAACGAGGAAGTATTTCATGTAACAGGGCTTTGGTAACTGCCCGGGCCTGACAATGCCGGCTAGGGTAACACTCTACCCACCCGGTGAGTTGATCAACAAACACGAGCAGATACTTATAGCCCCTGCAAGGGGGTACCTCAGCAAAGTCAACTTGCCATCTTTGAAAAGGGAATATAGCCCATGGTCGGCCTCCCATCGGGGCAGGAGGGCCACATCCCTTCTGGTTCGTTCGTTGACAGATGGAACAATTATTAACAACTCTCTGGGCTTCCATGTGCATACCCAGTCCTTTAAGGGACCTGGTAGCCAAGTCAACCATTGCCCCAGACCCCAGATGTCCCCCTTTATGCAGGAGCTGAAAAATCTCCTGGAGTACTGGCCTGGGGACGAAAACCTCTCCCCCAGGCAATCTCCACCATCCAGAGGAATCCTGCCGGCCTCCTGCAGCCTGGGCATGACCCATTTCCTCGGTTGTGTATTGGGGAGGAGGAGCTTTAGTCTCAGTATCTTGAACCATGAGAAGCCACGAGGCCCCGTCTCGGGCGGCCTCCTTCGCGGCCTGGTCAGCCAGTTGATTATACTTTCGCTGTTCGGCCTCGGGAGCCCTCCCGTGGGCACGCACATGTATCACGGCAACCCGGAGTGGAAGCATCAGGGCCTCGAGCAGGGCTTTAATGAGGCTCCCATGTGCAATCTTTTGACCTGAGGCCGTAATGAAGCCTCTCTCTTTCCACAGGGTCCTGTGTGCATGTACCACCATGTAGGCATAACGACTGTCTGTATATAGGTTAAGGGTTTTCCCAGCCCCCAAGTGAAGAGCCTCAATAAGAGCCACCAGTTCCGCCGCCTGAGCGGACAAATTGGGACTGAGTTTAAACTTGTATACCCCTTTATCCTTAATCACTACTGCTGCGCCAGTATATCGCTTGCCATCCACTACATAGCTGGACCCATCAACATACCCCTCAACATCGGGGTCGGGCCAGGGCAAATCTGAAAGATCAGGTCGGGGTTTGGTTTCTTGTTGTAAGACTTCAATACAGTCATGAGTAGGACCAGCCTCTGGGGAAACCTGAGGGTCAGGCAGTAGGGTGGCCGGGTTAAGGGAACTGACTGTCTTAAAGGTCAAATTGGGGGCCAACAAGAGCCCTACTTCGTATCTAGTATGTCGGCTAGGGTTTAGATGCTTTTCCCCAGCGCCTGTTCCCAGTATCTGAGGCACCCCGTGGGGGACCACAACTTTAGTGTCTCCGCCCAAGGTTAACTTTTCGGCTTCCTGAACGAGGAGGGCGGTCGCTGCTACGGCCCGTAAACACGCGGGCCACCCCTTGGCGACAGGGTCCAAGACCTTTGAATAATATCCAATGGGTCGCCAGGTTGGTCCTGACCTTTGGCACAGGACTCCAGCTGCCACCCCTCCTCTTTCATGAACGTATAGGGTGAATGGCTTCCGGGAATCTGGGAGGGCTAGAGCGGGAGGCTGAACCAAGGCTTCTTTAAGCTCTCGAAATGCTTTTTCCATTTCCCTGGTCCGTTTGTGATGGCTAGGACTATAACTGCGTTTAAAAGAGAATTGGATAAATTCATGGTG